AATTTAAAGATATCCGTAGTTGGACTGAAGAGAATTTCCAGTTTGACATCTTCAGTAACTTAATGTACATCAGGAAACAGGAAAATATGTCGCTAATTTTTTTTTCTTTTTAATCTGTCTTGCTAGAATTATTTTTAGACAAATATATGAAAAAAAAAAAAAAAACAGGAAACTAAAAAAGAATTAACCACATTTTTCTTGCATCTTTTCAGAAGCGACACTATCGCAGTTTGTTATATCAATCATCCTAAAATCTGTATGTCTTTTCTTTATTTACTTTTTTTTTTGTTAATGTATCAGATATTATTACCAATTTTTAAATGGTACGAAACCGTCATCGATAATCACTTACTTACGATGTTGATTCATTGACTGCTTATAAAGATATGCATGCAAATATGATTCAAACCAAAATTGTTTTTTATCTAATAGACTAAACCAAATTTAAGCAAAAAAAAAAAAGTTTTATAGATATGGTAAAACAATGAAGGAAATTTTTTTTTAGTTTAAAAACACTTTGCATTCTCTTGTATCTTTACGATAAATTTAAGCATCAGAAACAACTAGATATTTTACTTTCCTAGAGTAGAAGTAATCAAAGTTTTACAGGGAAAAAAATCAGATTTTAACTACCTATGTTTATATATCTATCAGATGTTATTTTATAAGAAGGTTACGTCGAGCAGTTAGCGTTGAAAAAATTTTGTGTTGTCTATTATTTGTAAAAAAAAAAAAGGATCCCACGATTAAAAGTGGACAATTCTAAGTTTCTGTTATCGAATTGGTGAACAGACCAGCAAACGGTTTTTTTCACTGAGATAAGGCACCGTAGATCAACGTCAGTTTAATTTTTTTGGGAAACCGTTTAAGGCGAGTAACTGTGCCTTTGCAAATGTTTAGATAATAGGGGCAAAAAAAGTTCAGCTCATTTTAATGAAAGCGATTAGATGTAACGTTATTTCTTTAAAAGATGTGCAAAATATTTTCGTTGTTTATCAACGGATACAAAATGATGGTGATATTCTTGGCGACAGTGATGTATGTTAAAAATTTTAAATTCATCTGACTCATCTTAAAACAACGTTTATCCAGTTTCTCCTTTTTTTTTGTGCGTTTCTAAACCTATAAATGGTCATCATAACTGCAGTGTCACTAAGTTGGGATATCCAAATTAAATTGGCAAAAAATTTTGGCACTATTATTTGGACAACTAAGTTCATCTGTTATTTCAGATGAATGCACAATTAATCTTCGTACTGATAGGTAGTGCACAACGTGTGATTGATATTCCCGAAAATGATATACCAGAAGTTGAATTGTAATACAGAAAGAGTTTTCCATGACTATTCTTTTTTCTTTTTCCTAACCCATATTAAAACCTTAGTCTTTTTGATATAATTTCAACACCACTTTGTGATATAGAAATCAGTTTATGATCATTAGCGAATACTGCAGAGGCAACTGCAGTATTTTCTCGTTTTCCGTTGACTGACCAGTTTCCTGTTTTCTACTTCTTCCAATGCTGTTGATGTAATATGTCGTTACTTCTGTTGATGTATTTTGTCCACTATAAATTGGTAAACAGCATGGAATCAACAATAAACCTGATACACATACGTTAATTAAATTGCATCACTTTATTTTCAGATATTCTATAATGGATGTTTCAGCAGAACAACTTTCGGAATTTAGTCAAATAAATTTGCACCACAGTTTACAAGTGAACAAAGAAAAACATAATATCCATTTAAAAAACCAGAAATTTTTGTGTAGAAGTTAAAACTGATTGCTGATTTTTGACAGTTCTGGAATGTAACTGCCTTATGACTGCCTTACCATTAATTAAATTCACAGAAGCGTACAAAAACACCAAAATAACCAAGAAATCTGATCATACCAAACACTGGTACAATATCACTTGTCGCTACTTGCCTTCGTCTATCAATACATTCCAGTTGATTTAACTGACCTGTTGTAGGCACAACTTTTCTTCATTTAAATTTCGTAGTATCCAGTCATTAGAAAATCCAAAATTTTGCGGTGAAGGAACTGTCGTAAAAGAACATGTTTTGCATTTTTTCCAGATATCAATAACAGTGGTATCAGATCAGTATCAGAATATCTGCCAGATAATACAACTGTTGTTTGCAGTAATTTTTTAACCAAAACTGAACAACTTCTAAATGTTTTAGCTGCTGTGATACAATAAAGAATAATGTCGGTTGCTTCGATACTCTTCCATGTTTATGTATGTCAATGTTCACTTTTCTTCCCCTGTTACTTATCATGTTTTTTTTTTCGGGCAAACACGTCACCATTGCTACTTACCGACTACTCCTATTTTACAAATAAACTGCTTTTGGAAAAGCAATTCTTCTTCTTTCTACATCAATATGAAAGAAAAAAAAAACACTGAGCTTTTACGGCCCTTATTATCGTTGGATATGCTGAGAACAAAGGAAAAAAAAAAAATGGAAAAATCAAAAATAAAGCTTTTTTTGCAATTTTTCAAAAATTTAAACAGTACTGCAGTAAGAAATAAGTTTAAAAAACCCATACAGAGGAATTCAAAACCCATGCAGAGGAATTCATTTAACACAGTTACTAATATTCGGGTACTTGCCTCGTTTAGGGGTACATACGCGACGCGTCCTTCCTTACAGGCAAAAAAAAAAAGCTAGGCATTTCTGTATGTATCTGCACTCTGTTCAGACTGGTAGTTCTTTTTCTATGTTGGATGCATATCACCGCCTGATACTATCATATAATCATTTTGATATATATCTGAAACACTTTTCAAAATTATTTCGTTTCTGTAAACTATACTGAAGACTTCTTTAATGTAATGCAGAATAAATATTTAACCACATAAGAAACGAGGAAAATAGCACTAAATGAGTAAAAGTTAATCTTCTCACCAGCACAGCCATTGCTAGAGGTTCAATAATTTTATGCACCCTCTAAGAAGTTACAGAAAATAGATCAAAAAAGACAGCTCATTATTTGAACCAAAACTAAACTACATTGAATGAAAGCAAAAAAAATATGCACTTCTGACACCCAACAAAGCTAAGAGATTCAGATTCTGTGGCAGAAAGAACTGACCTAAGACTGCGGACCTGTGGTTGTTAAAAGATCAAAATTTCTAAAATAGCTTAAACAGCAGTAGATCAAAACACTTGAAGTTTTACAGTCCTTCAAGACAGAAGAACTCTTTACTTTGCAAATTAGGCAAAACGTTTTCTTCAGAAATCGCCGTCTCTAAATTTAAGACCTTATCTTTCCGTAGGGTTTAACGACAGCGGTTCATTTCCTCTACTGACCAGTGGACAATGTCCATTTTGCCGATAAGTCCCGCCCGAACAGAAGCGCGTCACGTGCACGCTCCCAAACTGGTCAGATATGCGGAAAAAGATACTCGTCCAGTTACAGATTTTGGTACTTTAGTATCTTTTCTTCATTTAATTTCTTAATTACGACCAACGCGGCTCTCGAACTTTTGCTGGTAACAGTTTCATCAGTTTTGTTTTATGAGGATTTAGTTTTTTTGGGTGCACCTGGGAGTTTCACCAGTAACAACAGGTAGAGAAGTCTCATAAGTGAACGTCGTTATGAACTTCTGAGTTTTCTGATCTTTCTGACCGTCTTCATCAAGAATATCTTTCAGATTTGCAAACTGCGTCGTATATGTGATGTCTCCAGTGGGAGAAAACTGTCACGTTTGCGGTCTTGGCGAGAACCCTAGCTCATCGTAAAATTCACTGATTTTTAAGAGAGATTGTTAAGCCACTTTTTTAAACGGTTTAATGAGGTGTTGTAAGTTCTTGTAAGAACTAACAACACCTTTATCCAGTTTCCTTGCCAATGTTTCGCATACATCTCCTTTTATGCAATTATTTTTCGGATAAAAGTGCGCTTTAAGAAATTCTCTGGAAGACGACTCAAGAAATGACTCAGTGCTTTGGATTCAATGCGACGTTTGTTGCCATTGGTTTCACATAAGGTTCGTTTCAACATGTTTTTATACTTTAGGGATTGCTCACCTGCTGGTTTATTTTATCATATACTTTTATGGGATGCTAAGTTTATATTCTTAGTTTGTCTTATTGCCCTTTCTGATAGGGTCTACAAAGTTTTTCGACTAGTTTTATGGACAGTAGGCTTCTACTTACTACTCGAAAATTCAGGGTGAAACTTCAAACGTCATATAAGAGACTAATGAGGTTAGAAAAGTGGTGATGTTAATGTGTCTCTAGTTGCAGTTGCGTCCATGTGGAAGAATATGAGACTATCCTGATCGACAGCTATCACTGCCAAAATTGCGAAAGAGTTGAAGGTCCAAGTAGAAGTGAGTTGCTTACTTGCATAACTATTTTAATCTCCTGAAGTCAATAAAACTGCTAGCCAAAATTTCTTGGTTTGTTTTACGATTGTTTCGCTCGCGATGAGTTGGGTAAGCAGCTTCCCTATTTTGTTATCCCTACGTCTCTTAAGTTGGTTTCGGAAGATAAGTTGTCTTTTGAATTCTGTTTGTTTTTAAGTCTATTGCCTGGGGTCATGTTTCAGCCATGTGGACCCTATCTAGGATTGTCTGAACGTATAAGCCAACAGAGTAGGTGAAGCTCGATTTAAAAAGTCATTTTTACAGGAAAAAGAGTTTTGTTGAAGCACCGGTACAAGTTTGATGATCTCAACGAAAGGGAGAAGGTTGGTTAGCTTCATAACTGGCAACTCTTTATCTAATTAGTAATAATTGGTAATGGGTAGTTTTAGTGAAACCATTATGAAGATTTTCTTGAAATTAGTCTAGGAGACTCATGTTTTCAAGTTGCATGACTTTACTGTACGTTTCAGCCGGTCCAAATTGGAACAGAAGAATTTATTGAGAAGTTTAAAGAACATGAAGGAGAAATACCACCGCTGTAAGGAGCCGTTTTTATTGGTTTAATAATGGTCATACATCTTTTCGGGTGCTAAATCGGGTAAACAGATGTTTGATAGTCAAGTGTAATTATTCGTTGAACTCACTGGTAAACTATGGTTTAAATGGATGCGGATCTGTTGATGAAGTTGGGAGAGTTAGGTGCAGTGTTTGTTTGGAACTGCGTGTAGGCAACTTGTTTTCTCAGTTTTAGCCCCGAGAATTATGCCATTGTACTTGAGGATGGTATAGGCCTTAACAAGGAATTTGAAGGCAAAACCGAATGGGAAAAAATTTACCTCATTCGCGACAGAAAAGGGTTGGGAATGGGTATGCCTGAAGCAGGATTTTCTATCTGGGACTGCATCAGATTAGTTGGTAAGTTTTTGTATTCTTGTACTTTCTTCTATTTGCTAATAACGTAAGCATTTGGAATGGAGCATCCGGCATTGTGTTAATTATTTAGGTCCGGAAAGACGTGTTTATGTCATAGATGTTTATAAACAACAGTCTTACCAGATGAGTCTTGGAAGTTTTTATAAACATTTAGTAATGTCTGACCGGCCTAGACTCTATAATATCCTGAGCATGGAGTTTTCAAAGACAGAGTGCGTTTATGTTGTCTAACTGATTGGGTGCTAGTGGTTTTTTGATTTGATTTTTATTTGTTAAGAGTATTTAATTTGTTGTAATCTCAAAAAATCTGTCTCTTTAACAAAGGTGATCTGATGTTTTTTGGCTTTCTTAGTATTTATGAACGTTCATAAAATATTATCCTGATTATCCGTTTTCTGAATAACTTGTCTTCAGTTTGTCTGAAATTGTCACTCCTCCGTCGGTTGTTTCTCAGTTGAGTTGGGTGGAACGCTATTGGGACGCGAAGGGTTTTGCTGAAAAATGTAACTTTTTTGGCACACCTTTCTAAATCATTATTTATTAGTTGCGTTTTTAAATCTTTATTTCTGAATCTCTTGTTAGTGGTGCAGCATTTTTTTTTTCAAGTATAGTAGCAGTTATCTGCTTTTACAGCCAACAGCCCTTTGTCTTTGGAAGAACACATAAATGCGAAACCTGAAGTTTCACGCTACTGCTTGATGGGCATGGCCGGTTCTTATACAGATTTTCATATCGATTTCGGTGGTTCTTCTGTATGGTATCACGTTTTTAATGTTAGTTCTTAATTCCAATCAATTACTCAGAATTAGTATATCAGTATTTCCTCTCTAAAAAAATTCTTTTTTACTTTTTCGAAGGAAGCTGTGGAATCTTTTTCGTAAGAAGAGTAAGCTAATAAATTTAAATTTACGAAATTGCATCTGTGGTCTTCTTGACTGCAATGACTTTTTGATTGTTACACTAAATTTTTAGGGACAAAAAATATTTTACGTGGTTCCTCCAACTCCAGCAAACTTGAAGCTGTATCTTGACTATCATCAAGATGACAGTCGAAGTGAGTATTTTTTTGGAGATAAAGTTTCGAAGGACTCACTTTTCCGAGTAGGTTTTTCATTTCTTATGTTAAGTTTCTACGCTTGTAAGTCACGGCTTGCTTGCTTTGTCGTTCATGCAAATATTAGCAGAATGCTTTCTCACCAGTGCCACTAATTTTTTGAAGCTTTAAATGTGTTAACTCTTAGTTTTTAAAGCAACATCAAAATTTCTAAGTAAGTAAATGACTATTATGCTGAATTTTTACCACTTTACTGTAGCTCTTTTTAGGTAGTACTGAATAGTGGGGAGACATTGCTTCTTCCATCTGGTTGGATTCATGCCGTTTTTACTCCACGCGACAGTTTAGTCTTTGGTGGGAACTTTCTTCATTCACTGAGCATACCTATGCAACTAAGGTGACTAGTTTCTATAAAATTACATATGTTAGAGTTTTAGTTGAAAATTTTTTTTTGCTTAAAGTAGTACGTTCTCTTTGCTCATCAGCACTATCCTTATTAAATTTATGGAAGGTGTTTGAAGGGTATATGAAATTGAAATGGCGCTGCTAACTCCTTATCGGCTGACTTTTCCGGAGTTTGAGCTGGTAAATTGGTATGCCGCATCAGAAATGGCAGAACAACTCAAAGGTTCATGGTAGAAACTTTCTATTTGACATTTTTAAACTTCCATTTACTAGAAGATTTAATTTCCAGGATATTTTTACGAAATAATGAAGAGGAAATGGAGGGAATGAAACAAAAATTTTTACACTGATTCTGGTGTTTTGTATTTGGTTAACTGATTGACGAAGTCATGAATTATATAATATCTATTGGAGTTAAGAGTTATGACGTTGTCATGTCCCCGTATAAACGTTGATGAACTTTATAGAAATTAATGACGATAACAACGCTGGTTTACAGTCTGATAAACAGCTAGTAAAAGATGCCAAAACGATGCTTAGTAGCTTAATCGTGTGGTTGGACAGTAGCCATGTATGTTGACGGGAGATATAATTAGTTTTATTTTTTTTAATGTGCTTCTTTTGTTTTTCTTTTTTTGACCTAGAGACTCTGAAAAGAAAGAATTTTCTGTCTTTTGTTTGCTGTAAATGAAGTTTCTGATGCGAATTTATAACTGAACGAAATTTATTTAGAAAGTTTGGAAGTTTTTATTCGGAAATGTTGTGTCGGCTTTACAGAAGGAACTTAAGAATTACGAGGTAATTGTTCCGCTACATCTTTATCAGCATTATGCCACTGTTAGCTCTACTATTACTTTTTTTGGATAATTTTAGAAGAAACGCTCTCAAATAGAACCAAGGCGGAAGATGACACCAACTAAACGAAAACGGAATAGTTCTTCATCAGTTGACTACTTGAGAGCCTAGGAAATAGAACTCAGTTCTATTTTCTGTTTTAAAAGCTGCTTTATTGGCTTTCAGTTTTACATTTGCTCATTGAACCTATTCGTCTCCTTGAACTCTCTGTATTTCTGTGCATGAATTAATCTACTTAGTGTGAAATTCTGAGAAGGAGCAAAGACTTCTTTATTGTGCAGTTCTCGAGTTCCTGGGAATAATTACTGAGACATTGGTAAAGATAATTTCTTGGAAAAAGAGTTTTAGATTACTGATTACAAATGCTGTAGATCCGAGAAGATAAATAAGAAACTAAATTCTTCGTTTTCATCTTAATTCCATCCACTGGTTCATTTCTTAAAGGTTGAAAATTAAAAAATGAAAATTTAATTCTATGATAGCAGAAAAGAACACTACTGTTGAGTAATCGCTCAGTTGATTATCCTCGTTTTAAAGTTCAAAGAAAAGAATTTCACTTACAAATCTAGTTAGTTTCGAAAGAACAGCTTTTTTCACTAGTCGAACAATAAACTTCTGAATTCTTATTTTTTAGCTACGGATGAAATATTTCTAGGGTGTTTTTAAACCTTTTTTTTTTAATTATCTGGTCTCCACTGATACCATTAGTTGTTGATACCTTTGTTTTCTTTATCACTGGTGCTGTGAGAACTTTTGAACACAGCATCCATTGGCAAGTTCTTCGTAAGTACCTTTGGCGTAGTTTCAGCAACGGAGTTTACTTGTTTATCTTTGTTTTACGTTTGTACATCTCAGATTTTCTACTGTATCATCGCTTTTCATCGGTTTTCAATAATATCAAGGAACTGCTATTTGCTTGGCAATAAATTTGGTAAGTGGAATGTGAAAGAAGATATTTGGTTTCTAGTAAGGTGCTTTCAAAAGGAACGGCAAGCAAAATGAAGAAGGAAGCAGAAATGGTCTTCCAAACGCTTGATGATGGCGAGCTGAATTGGTTATGAAGTAGATTCTCGTTGTACAAACCAGATCTCTCATCAACGGGAGAGCACAGGAGAGTACTGACTTGTTGCAATGTTTTTTTTTTT